ATTATCAGTTTTTGACCTATGACTTCGTACTGTCTGTGATTGAATAGGTAGATGGAGTAATTATGCAATTACACTCGAGGCGAAAACACATGAACAAACGATAGACTTCATCAGAATGCACTGTTTGCAGACGTAACAGTTTGACTTCTCTTTATCTAGAGTGTATGCTGGAAAGAGCACAGTTGTTGGCAATCAATGTTGGTACCGAGAATATAAAGAAACAATTAAATGAGGTTCAATGGGAACAACTCTGATCCAAAAAGGTTTTTATACCAAATGATGTAAATAACATAGTGTCTACCTCCTCCAAGATCGGACCATAACGATAGTATGCCCTACCTCTTCTTGCGTACTGCACCTCTTCTTAGTTGCCTAGTTGCCTAGGGTGATACTTCTACAAACCAAGGGGCCATGGTATTTGAGCGCCTCTGATGGCAAATGGATCTAGCATCATTTAGTTAAAGTCACTTCGCCATAATCATGAACGACGTTTCAGGAGCTACGCTATCCCGTAAGCATCAAAATATGTTTGCACCCTGAAGCATGCCAGATAACGCACAATGCTTCCAGAGACCAGATTTGTTGGCATAGCTAGCTCCTGAAACATCAATCGCAATGAATGTATGTGAGCGAAAGCGGACAAAATTATGGGAAATTCATCTGTCACTGCACGTACTAATACACCATGGAGTCGTAGCCCGCTGACCCCCCCCCATCTCCAAAAGGCAGCTGGGACCAGGGGGAGGTGCAACACGCCGAGAAATCAGATATTGGAAGCATCATGCATTATTTAACATACTCAACGTAAAATCATATTTTGATGATATGGATTTGTATCAAACATGCTTCGTTAACTCTGTGTGCTCGAAGGTTCTTCATGACCACACATATTTGCTTCAAATTAATCGACATTGAACAGAACTCCAACGTACGAGGTTATATCATTCCCAAGGAAAAAACAAATATTCAAATGATGTCAGTAGCTGCAGCTTTCGAAAACCTGCTTCGTCATTTGCATCTATATCTTCATTTTCCATGAGCGCTTCTCCTTTCGGGTCGCGGAGGAAGACACGTCACACAGTGCTTCCAACGTCCCCATCCTGTGCCAGAGTCTGAGTTTCGGCAGAAGACAACTGGAGTCTGGAACAGACTCCTTCCATACGTTTACACCAGGTTAATCTTGGCCGTCTCTGGACCTTCTGCCGGTCGGATTTGCAAGAAACAGTTGCTTAGCTTTCCTTTCTGGAGGCATTCGCAACACATGCCCAAGCCATCGCAGCTGTGACTTCT